TTCTTTTCCCACGACATTTATCGTCAAACTACCTATTTCTTTCCCACACCTATCTTACTATTTTATTTTTTCTTTTCCCACGACATTTATCGTCAACTATTTTTATTTTCTATTTTCTCTTCCCACGACATTTATCGTCAACTATTTTTATTTTCTATTTCTCTTCCCACGACATCTATCGTCAACTATTTTTATTTTCTATTTCTCTTCCCACTACATTCTACAGTCAACTATTTTTAATTTTCTATTTCTCTTCCCACGACATCTATCCGTCAACTATTTATTTCTATTTCTCTTTTCACTACACATCTATCGTCCACACTATTTTTATTTTCTATATTCTCTCCCACGACCATTTATCGTCAACAATATTTTTTTTTCTATTTCTCCTTCCCACGACATCTATTCGTCAACTATTTATATTTTTCTATTCTCCTTTTCCCCCACGATCATTATCGTCACTATTTTTTTTCTATATTTCTTTCCCCAGTACGACATTTATCGCAACTTTAGTTCCTATTTCTTTCCCACTAAAGTACATCTTAATACATCAACTATATTATAATTTTTCTATTTTCTTTTTTCCCACGACATTTATCGTCAACTATTTTTTATTTTCTTATTTTTCTCTCTCTTTCCCCACGACATTTATCTCAACATATTTCTATCTTCTATTTCTCTTCCCACGACATCTATCGTCAACTATTTTTATTTTCTATTTCTCTTCCCAATACATTTATCATCAACTATTTATATTTTTTATTTCTATTCCCAGTACATTTATCGCCTACTATTTTCATCTTCTATTTCTCTCCCCACTGCAATTGACATCTTCTATTTCTATTCCCACTACATTTATCGTCAACTATTTCCATCTTCTATTTCTCTTCCCACTGCAACTGACATCTATTTTTATTCCCACCATTCCCATCCAATCCCTCCTATTCACCTTCCCTTATTCCCATTCGCTTCGGATCTTGCTTCTCTATCCCTGACGCGTAATCTCTCCTTCCTTCCTTCCTTTTATATCTATCGAAATGTCAGGGAACAAGGTATCTCTTTCCCCTTTCAATACCTGCCGCGCCCAAGTCTTACTGAAGTCTCTCTCTAAGTCCTCGCCAAGTCCCAGTGATGTCTCTTTCACACCTCCTGTCATAAGCGCCGTTGCAGATGGCTATTTTTGGACGGCGGTCATGACTGTCTCCCCTTTTGAACCTGTCACAGATGTTTTTTTCGATGTCTCTGTCACAGATTTTTTTTTTTTCGAAGTCTCTGTCACAGATGTTTTTTTTTTCGAACCTCGTCACAGATGTTTTTTTTCTTTTTCGAAGTCTCTGTACAGATGTCTCCTCTTAAACCAATGTCACAGATTTATCCTTTAGACATGCCTGTCACAAATATCTCCTTTTGAACCTCGTCACAGATGTCTCTTTCTGAACCCGTCACAATGTCTCCCCTCAATTCACGTCACAAATGTCTGTTTCTCAACCCCGTCACAGATGTCTTTTTCGAAGTCTCCGTCACAGATGTCACTTTTTAAAATTCCTGTCATGAATGTCTTCTGTAGCCTCGTCACATATGCCTCGTTTTAAACCCCCGTCATACCCGTTTCCTTTTAACCTCCCGTCAACAGATCTCTCGCTCTTTAAAATCCAGTAACAAATATCTTTTTCTTTCCTCCTCCCTCTATCTCCCCTTTTCCAAATAAGTCTCACGGATGTCTTCGTCTACATCTTTATCATGTATGTGTCTCTTTTTCTTGTCCCCTGTCACACATTCACTTCTCTTTCGAACCCCTGTCGCCTGGTGTGTCTTTCAAATCCCTCTCTGCTCCCTCCTTTCTCTTTCGAAACTCCTGTCCCTGTCTCTTTCTAAACCCCTCTTTTTCCCCTCTTGTTTCTAAACCCCTCTTTTCCCTGTCGCTCTTTCTAAAACCCTCCTTCCTGTTCTTTCTAAACCCTCTTTTCCCTGTCTCTTTTAAACCCCTTTTCCCTTTTTCTTTCTAAATCCTCTTTCTGTCTTTCTAAATCCTCTTTTCCTGTTTCTTTCTAAACCCCCTTTTCCTGTCTCTTTCTAAACCCTCTTTTCCTGTCTCTTTCTAAACCCTCTTTTCCTGTCTCTTTCGAACATCCTGTCTCCGGTCTCTTTCAATCCCCGTGACCTGTCCCTGTCTCTTTCAATCCCCTTTCTCTTTCTCTTCCAATCCTCTGTCTCGCTCAAACCCCTGCTCTTTTAACCCCTCTGACCCTGTCCCTTCCTAAACCCTCTGTCCCTATCTCTTTCTAATCCTCTTCCTCTGTCTCTTTTCAAACCCCCTGTCCCTATCTCTTTCAACCCCCCCCCTCCCCTCCTACCCCTCCTCTACCCCTTGTGTCCTTATCTCATTTCACAACCCTGTCCCTAGCTCTCATCACCCGCCCTCCCCCCACGCCCCTCCTCCCATTCACAACCTTCCAACCCCACAACCCCCTTGCCCGTCTCTCATTTCTACCTCCCCCCCCCCTGCCCTCTATCTCTCAACTCCCTTTCACCCCCTCTCCCCCCTCGAATCCCCTTGCCAATATACCCCTTTCTCTACCCCCCCCACCCAGGTCCCTCGGCGCAGATGTCTTCCAGCCAACCCCGTCACAAGAACCCCTCTTCACCGCCCATTACATCTGTCCTCCCTAACCCTCGTCATATTTCTACTCTGTGGACGTTATATTTCTACCCTCTGTTTCTGCGTCAGATATCAAGCCACATCCCCCCCTATTCTGGTACGTGACTCGCATTCCGCTTCTCTGTCTCTCTCTTTTTCCGTTTTTATGTTTCTCTCTCTCTATCTTTATCTTTTTTATTTCCGGTTTTTCTTCCTTCTGTGTTTGTCTTTGTTTGGTTGATTTCTTCTCTGTCTTTGCATCTTTCGCTGTGTTCGTTTCTTTTTTGTTTCTGTTTCTGTCTCTTTCTTTATATCTTTCTCTGTCTCTTTTTCTTTCTTCTTTATCTTTTCTCTTCTTCCTCTTTCTCTTTCTTTATCTCTTTCTCTGTCTCTGTATTTCCTAAGCCATTCCTCTATATATTTGTCTTTTCTCTCCTTTCTTTCTGTCTCTTACCTCTTTCTCTGTTTCTCTTGTCTCTTCTTGCCTCTCTCTGTCTCTGTCTCTGTCTGTCAGTTCTGTCTCTGTCTGTCTACCTGTCGGTTCATCTAAGTATCCGTCCTGTTGTTATTTTTTTATATCTAATATTTTGTCTCTTTTCCCCTCTTTGTTTTTACTTACAAATCATCAGTTACCATAATCTGTTTTCCATCCCGTGGTTCGCATACCCATACCTCTTCAAAATATCAACATCCCATTTCACTTAACTCCCCATTCTTCCTCAAAAACTTCCCCTCACACCCCTTGTCAATCATCACCTCATCACCTCATCCCCCTCATCACATCACCTTTTGACCTTTGACCTTTACACACTTCCCCTCCCCCTCTCCCTCTCTCCCCTCTCCCCTCGCCCCCATCTGCCTTAGGACGTCGCGACACACTATTCCATTTCTCCTCCATTCTTCTCTCTCCTTGTAGCCATTCCCTCCTTCATCACATATTCTCTGTGTCCTCGTGTATTCCCCTCTCTCTCTCTACACGTCCCTTTCACCTTTGTATCTATTCCCTTCGCTCTCGGGTCTTCCCTCCACTTTACGCATTCCCTCTATCCATCTTTGTACTTTCTAACTTTCTATCCATTCGCTCCGTCCTTTACGTAGTCTTGTTTCATTTACTTTACTCTTTTCATGTTTCTGTTGCATTTATTATCTTGTTCTCCTGTTCCTGCTGCATCTTCCATCCTCTTTCTGTGTTCCCACTCGATTTATAATCCTATATCTATATTCCTACGGCATTTATTCTCGTCTCTTTCTATTCCCACGGCATTTATCCTCGTCCATTTTTATTCCCACGGCATTTATCCTCGTCTATTTTTATTCTCACTGTATTTATTATCATCTCTTTTTATTCCCATTGCTTTGATACTCATTTCCTTTCCTCCATTTATGCTCCTCTCCATTCCTATCCTACTACTGCATTTATCTTCCTCTCTTTCTATCCCTACTGCTTTTATCCTCCTCTCTTTTTATTCCTACTGCATTTATCCTAATTTATTTCTATTCCTACTACATTCATCATCTTCTTTTCCTGTTTCTACTGGATTTACCATTCGACATTTCTATTTCTACTAGATCTATCCTCCTCCATTGTATATTCTACTTAATTTATTCTTCATCATTTCCATTCTCACTCCATTTTTGTTCCTACTGAAATTATTCTCCTCCATTTTCATTCCTACTGCATTTATCCTAATCTTTTTCCTGTTTCTACTGCATTCAACATCCCCCATTTCTCTTCCTATTCCATTTATCCTCCTAAATTTCCCTCCCTACCCTATTTATCCTCCTCTATTTATCCCTCTTACTCCATTTATCACTACTTGTCCTATTCCATTTGTCTCCCTCCATTTTCATACCTCCTCCACTCCTCTTCCATGACTATTCCTCCATTCAACGATCTCGCTGCCCGCACTTACCTCCATGCACACCACACGACACTATTTCCCTCCCTGCCTTTATCCCTCTCTCTCTCCCTCTTCATTTATCACTACTTGTCTTATTGCATCATTTCCCTCTTACTCCATTTATCATAACCCACTACTCGTCCTATTCCATTCGTCTCCCTCCATTTTCATACCTCCTGCACTCCTCCTCCTCCATGACTATTCCTCCATTCAACGATCTCGCTGCCCGCACTTACCTCCGTTCACAACACACGACACCATTTCCCTCCCTGCATTTATTCCTACATTTCCCTCTTACTCCATTTATCACTGCTTGTCTTATTCCATCATTTGCCTCTTACTCCATTTTTCAAAACCCACTACTTGTCCTATTGCATTCGTCTCCCTCCATTTTCATACCTCCTGCACTCCTCCTCCTCCATGACTATTCCTCCATTCAACGAGCTCGCTGCCCGCACTTACCTCCGTTCACAACACACGACAGGTGCAGTGAGCTTCCTTCATCAGCTGGGAGTGTGATGTCCAGGTGCTTCCCAGTGTGGAGAGACAACTTTATGCTTGAAGGAGGTTCAATCACCACTACCTGTGCGGGAGAGAAAATGGTTAATTGGAATTTCTTGTTCTCTTTCGTGTATATGTGCGTTTGTTGTGTTTTTTTTTTTTTTTTTTACATTTCTGTCTGTCTTTTGGGTTTGGTTTTCTATTTTGTTGATATTTTTTGTGAGTATTTTTTCTTTCTTTTTTTTATTGTACTCTCTTTCTCTGCCTATCTGTCTGTGTCTGTCTGTCTGTCTGTCTGTCTGTCTGTCTGTCTGTCTGTCTGTCTGTCTGTCTGTCTGTCTGTCTGTCTGTCTGTCTGTCTGTCTGTCTGTCTGTCTGTCTGTCTGTCTGTCTCTCTGTCTCTCTCTCTCTCTCTCTCTCTCTCTCTCTCTCTTTCTCTCTTTCTCTCTTTCTCTCTCTCTTCTCTCTCTCTCTCTCTCTCTCTCTCTCTCTCTCTCTCTCTCTCTCTCTCTCTCTCGGCTCTCTCTCTCTTTCTCTCTTTCTCTCTTTCTCTCTTTCTCTCTTTCTCTCTTTCTCTCTTTCTCTCTCTCCTTCTCTCTCTCTCTCTCTCTCTCTCTCTCTCTCTCTCTCTCTTCTCTCTTTCTCTCTTTCTCTCTTCTCTCTCTTCTCTCTTTTCTCTCTTTCTCTCTCTCTCTCTCTCTCTCTCTCTCTCTCTCTCTCTCTCTCTCTCTCTCTCTCTCTCTCTCTCCTCTCTCTCTCTCTCTCCCTCTCCCTCTCTCTCTCTCTCCTCTCCCTCTCCCTCTCCCTCTCTCCTCTCCTCTCTCTCTCTCTCTCTCTCTCTCTCTCTCTCTCTCTCTCTCTCTCTCTCTCTCTCCTCTCTCTCTCTCTCTCTCTCTCTCCCTCTCCCTCCCCCTCCCTAACTAAATCCATCTCCACATTTCCTCCACCTTCACGTACGTCAATAATAGTTGTCTCGGACTCTCTCTCACTGCCCCCTCACTTCATTATCCGTTCCGTCACACATTCTCCCCTCACCCTCCCTTCCCTCACTCTTTCTATTTCTCCCCTCTTTACCTCTCGCTCGCTCCCTCGCTCACGCCCCTCTTTCTCTCTCGATTGCTCACTCCCTCTCCCCCTCTTTCCTTCTCCCTACCTCTCTCCTTCACCCTCTCTTTCTCTCTCCCTCCCTCCCTCACTCCCTCTTTCCTTCTTCCTCCTCCCTCCTTCACCCTCTCTTTCCCTCGCCTCTCTCACCCCCACTTTCCCTCTCCCTCTCTCCCTCACCCCCTCTTTCGTCTTTTCCTGATATTTTATCCCGCCTTCATCACTTTTCACTTTCACCTTCGCTCCTCATTTTCCCCTCTCCCTCACATAATATCCCCTCCCCTCACATAATATCCCCTCCCCTCCCTTTCCTTATAGACTCGTTCTTCCCTTCCTCTCCTGTCTCACTTCCTCCTTTTCTGCCTTTCCCTAACCTTCCCTCCTCCATTTTCTTCCCCTTCCTTTCTCCTTTCCCCTGACATTTCATCTCTATCCCCCTCCCCTTCCCTCCTTCCCCTCACATTCCCTCTCCCCTCGCTTTCCGTCCTCCCTGTCCATCCCCATTCCCTTCCTTCCCCCTAATCGTCCCCCCTACCCGTCGTCCTCCTCTCCTTACACTCTCTCTCCCCCTCTCGCCCCTCCCCCTTCCCTTCCTTTGCCCTAAGCCTCGCCCCCTCCCTTCCCCTCCTCCTTCTTCCCCCATACCCTCCATACTCCCTCCCTCCTCCTCCCCTCCTTCCCTCCTCCTCCTCCCCCCCCCTCCCTCCCTCCTACCCCTTTCCCCCTCAACCCCTCCCTCCCCCCCCTCCTCCCTCCTACCCTCACACTCCCCCCTCCCTTCCCTCAACCCCTCCTCCCTCCCATTCCCCCCCCTCTCCCCCCTCCCTCCCATCTCACAAACCTACCTCAATGATCGTGGTCTTGGAAGGCGCCCTCATGAAGTCCACCCGACACTCGTACCGCCCATCGTCGTGCAGCGTCGCGCCCGAGATGACCATGCGGGCGGGAGGCTGCGGATGGAAGCGGGCGCGGGCGCGGTCGTCTGGTCCCTGGGCGTGTGCTGTCGGTAGCCCAGGGAGGTGTTGCGGGCGTCGTACCTGCGGGAGGAGGGGAAAATGGGCGTTTTTTTTTTGGAGACGCGGTTTGGTGGGGCGTGTGGGCGTGTGGGTATGGGGTGGGGGTGATGGTGAGTAAAGACGGCACACACGGAGAAAGCACTACACCACACGGAGAAACGCACACACGGAGAAACGCACACACGGAGAAACCCACACACGGAGAAACGACGGAGAAACCACACACGGAGAAACGCACCACGCGGAGAAACCACACACGGGAAACGCACAACGAGAAACGCACACACGGAGAAACGCACACACGGAGAAACGCACACACGGAGAAACGCACACACGGAGAACACACACACCACACGAGAAACGCACACACGGAGAAACCGGCACACACGGTAGAAACGCACACGGAGAAAACGCCCGAGAAACGCACACACGGAGAAACGCACACACGGAGACGCAACCGGAGAAAAACACAACGACACACGGAGAAACGCAAACACAGAACGAGGAAAATGCACACACGGAGAAACGCACACACGGAGAAACGCACACACGGAGAAACGTACATGATATTCATTTTGGTGCAGGTATTTGAATGCAGATATATACGCAGTAATATACATACATTAATAAGGAGACATACGAAGATGTTTGCAGATTAGAATACATATACGAAGACAGACATACGCAGTATTATATATTTTAGCATATATGATTAAATAGATACAAACGCTGTATGTATACGCTAGAATATAAGCAAAAATACAGATGCATATGCAAAATTATACACCTAGTATATATATAGACATACACTTACATATACAGAAATATACACATTGCCCTAATCACAGAAATACACACAGTGTAATTAACGCACAAACATACACACACACAAACAAAAAACATACAGAAACACACTTATACACATATAAACACGATCAGAAACGCACCCAACACCGCATAAATAAAGAACACTTCACCACCAGAACTCGGCAGGATCCACCCCTCCCACCCACTACCCACCGCACAAACTAAACAAACAACCCTTAAAACAAGAACAAAACTCCAAACAAAGAAGAAATGGGAATCAAACACACGCCGGAAACGAAAGACACTTCAACACACACTCGCAGGGGTGGGGGTGAGTGGAGAGGGGGGGCCCTCACTAACCCCCCCTCCCAACCCACAAAAATCAAAACCAAACCCAAGTAAAACAAGAAAAAAACAAACCCAAACACCGGAAACGAAGACAAACTTTCAACACACACTCGCAAGGGGTGGGTGAGTGAGAGGGGGGGGGCCCTCTCACTCACCCCACCCCAACCCACAAACAATCAAAAACCAACCCAAAGTAAAACAAGAAACAAACCCAAACAACGCCGGAAAACGAAGACACTTCAAACACACACTCGAGAGACTCCCACCCCCACCCCACCCAACCCCCAAACCACAAACAAACAAAACAAAAACCAAGTAAAACAAAAAACAAAACCGGCAAAACGAAGACACTTCAACACACACAACTCGCAGATCCCCCCCACTCCACCACCCCCAACCCCCAACCCACAAACAAACAAAACAAACCCAAGTAAAACAAAAAAAACAAACCGCAAAAACGAAGACACTTCAACCACACTCGCAGACTCCCCCCCCCCACCCACCCCCAACCCCAACCCACAAACAAACAAAAAAAAACCCAAGTAAAACAAAAAACAAACCGCAAAACGAAGACGCTTCAAAAACACACACTCGCGACTCCCCCCCGCCCACCCACCCCCAACCCCAACCCACAAACAAACAAAAAACAAACCAGTTAAACACAAAAAACAAACCGGCAAAACGAAGAACGCTTCAACACACCACTCGCACTCCCCCCCCCCCACCCACCCCACCCCAACCACAAACAAAAGCAAAAAACAAACCCAAGTCTAAAACAAGAAAACAAACCCCAAAAACACCGAAAAACGAAAGGGGAAAAACACTTTCACACACACTCGCAGACCCCCCCCCCTCCACCCACCCCCAACCCCCAAACAAACAAAACAAACAAGAACAAACCCCAAGTAAAACACCAAAACAACCCGATGAGAACGGGGGTCCCAGAGTGCACACCTTATCGCACCTCGTTTGCTTGTTTTCCCTTGTTTACCTCCTCTCATTATCAGCCTTCGTTTCGACACCTACGCCCGCGAGGAACCAGAGTGTTTACGAAGGAGCCTAAGTGGTGGCGCTCCTTCCCCTGAAAATACAGGTCGGGGTTTTTACAAATACGTTTCGTTCGCTGACGATAAACAGTCACACGGTTGTTTTACGGGCGGCGGTCGAGTCGGAATTGGGTGCGGCGGGAGTGGTGTCTGCGGAACGAGAGTGGTCGTTTTGGTGTATATAATAATATATATATATATATATATATATAATATATATATATATATATATATATATATATATATATATATATATATATATATATAATATATATATATATATATATATATATATATATAAACAATAGATATTACATATACATAGCATACATTATAACACACACATACTACACACGCAACACACACACAACACAACACACACACACACACACACATATATATATATATATATATATATATATATATATATATATATATATATATATATATATATATATATATATATATATATAAGTATTAACGAAAATCACACACGTGTGCAATCCCACAATGTTATATTCGCATACACGGACACACAAACAAACACAAACAAATCATCCTTTTCCTCGACAAAAAAAAAAAAAAAAAGAAGTTACACAACAGCCTGTGTTAAGGATAACAGGCCTCTAAATCATAATCAAAGGTAATTTCTGATTATAGGATAAGCGCTCTGATAGGTAATAAACAACAATAATGCTGATGTATATTATGGATAATGCAGCGGCCGTTATGGATTGCTGATACATAAACACAAGGTGGCGTTTGGTATGCAGTTCTTTAAGTTATAAGATATCGAAGGATACGAGGGAAAGACACTAAGGGTATAAGTAGCGGGTTGTAAGTATTGTAAGTAAAAGTAAGCTTCTCTTTCCGATTTCTTTCTGTCTTTGACTTTTCTTATTATTTTTTCTCTCTTTCTCTTCTCTTTGTTTGTCGTTCTTGGTGTTTATACACGTTGATACATATGTAGAAACACCAAGACATGTATTCACGCACATGCAGCTACATAGGTATACATACATTCACACATCGCGAGTACACATACGTAAGCACTAAAGACACACACACACACACACACACACACACACACACACACACACACACACACACACACACACAACACACACACACACACACACACACACACAAAAACACAAAAACACAACAAAAACGCAGAACAAAAACACACACAAACAAACAGGTACTTGCTGTCACTACCATGTGTACCTCTTTACGACTTTATTGCAGAGAGGAACAGCAACACGAGATAACTTGCACGTATTCTAAACAGCACCACTGTACCGTATTTTTTTTCTCTCTCTCTAATTGTACCCAACTTCTCGCCTTCAGATAGACAGTCATTCTTTATTCCTTCACGTGATGGAGTTTCTCGTGATTTCCTTGTGTCTGATATTCAAATGAGGGTAAATTGGTGAGTTCTCTTGATGTTTCTCCTAGTCGGTCCTTAGTCTCACGCTCTCGAACTTCTTAAGTCCCCCCCTCTTAGTCTCGAAAGAAAATGTAGTGCGACCGTTTTCTATGTTGAGTTGGCTTGAAGTGAGAGAATGTTGGTAGGGAATAAATACAAGGGGGGCTTAAAAAAAAGTCTATCTACCTATAGCAAATGCGAAGAGGAGAAAATGGAAATAAAGACGATAAAAAATAAGGAGTAGAATAAGAAGAACCTAAACAGAAAGAAAACTTGGAAGAGAGAAAAATAGCAACAACAAATGCTAAGAAGAACAGAACGAACAATTCAACGACAAAAAAAGAGACAATAAATTCCAAACAGGAAGAACAAAGAGAAGACAATAAAGAAGAAGAACAAGACAGAGAAGAAAGAAGGAAAAATACAATATTCACCCACAAGAAATTCTCCGAAAGGGACACGTCTTTCAAACGTCAGTCTCGAAGTTCAATAAAAAGTTGGTTTATCGAACTCTGAAAGATCCAATTTCTTTTGACAAAGACAGAAGGAGAGAGAGAGAGAGAGAGAGAGAGAGAGAGAGAGAGAGAGAGAGAGAGAGAGAGAGAAGAGAGAGAAGAGAGAGAGAGAGAGAGAGAGAAGAGAAGAGAGAGAAGAGAGAGAGAGAGAGAGAGAGAGAGGAGAGAGAGAGAGAGAGAGAGGAGAGAGAGAGAGAGAGGAGAGAGAGAGAGAGAGAGAGGAGGGAGAGAGAGAGAGAGAGAGGAGAGAGAGAGAGAAGAGAGGAAGAGAGAGGAGAGAGAGAGAGAGAGGAAGAAGGAGAGAGAGAGAGAGAGAGGAAAGAAGAGGAGAGAGAGAGAGAGAGAGAGGAAGAAGGAGAGAGAGAGACGAGAGGAAGAAGGGAGAGAGAGAGGAGAGAGAGAGGAAGAAGGAGAGAGGAGAGAGGAGAGAGAAGAAGGAGAGAGAGAGAGAGAAGAGAGGAGAGAAAGAGAGAGAGGAGAGAGGAGAGGAGAGGAGAGGAGAGGAGAGGAAGAGGAGAGGAGAGGAGAGAGAGAGAGAGAGAGAGAAGAGAAGAGAGAGAGAAAGAGAAGAGAAAAGAGAGAGAGAAGAGAAGAGAAAGAGAGAAAGAGAAAGAAAGAGAAGAGAGAGAAAGAAGAAAGAGAAAGAAAAGAGAAAGAAAAGGAAAGGACAAAGACAAGACAAGACAAAGACAAGACAAAAGACAAAGAAAAAGACAAAGACAAAGACAAAGACAAAGACAAAGACAAAGACAAAGACAAAGACAAAGACAAAGACAAAGACAAAGACAAAGAAAGACAAAGACAAAGACAAGAGAAAGACAAAGACAAAGACAAAGACAAAGAGAAAGAGAAAGAGAAAGAGAGAGACAGAGAGAA